ACAATCACTACAAAATAATGATAATATTCTAATTAACTAAAAAAATTAAAATGTGCAAAATTAAAAATAGCGCTTTAATATCCTAACATAAAATTATGAAATTAAATGAGTTAGAAAGATAGTAGATTATGAAAATAAATTAAAATATTAAAATATCAAAACATAAAAATCGGAATAAGTTCAACATAAATCTTTTCTCTTGCCCATATTACCTCTCACGTAAACAAGAATATAACAAGTCATTAATATTTGAATTATTAAATTTAAAAGTTTCTAATAAACTATTACTCTCATCATCTAATTGATTTGTATTAGAATCATCGACATAATCAATTGTTTATCTCGTGAATTATACTTAGTTGTATCTATACTCTCCCATTTCTCATTATTTTTCATCACAATTAACTTCTAATTTTAATTAATAATTGTTAATAAAAATAGTAATTAAAATAATAATTATGTTGATAGTTAAAAGTTATTAAATATTTTTTTAATATATTTTCTTTTAATTTCTTATTATTTATAGTATGTGAGGTGTGAGGGTGAGGTATATTGATATTACTTTTAGTTTTGTTTAAAAAAAATAATGGATAGCCTTAAAAATTTGAGTTGAGAAACAATACAAATTGGGAGAGTGTATGCCACACTCAAGGATAATGAAGCTATTATTTTTTTTTTCTTTTTTTTTTCTTTTTTTTTTGTAAAAAACACTGAAACAAGCCTCAAGATGCGCCTCATATTGTTAAATTTTGAACAAGGATTTTCATCTAGGTTAGGGTATCTTGTGTGTGTCAACTTAAGAAAGTAACAAATTTGAATTAAAAAAAAAAATTAAAGATTAAATTACATGAAAACTAAATATAGGGAATATTTCATGATTTAAGGCCATTTGGGGGCACTAATTTGGTGCGGCAGCATTTTGAAAATGTTGTCTGTGCGTTTGTTTCACTCGTTCGGGTAGCGTTTTCGTAACGCCGCCGTTATATCATTATTATAAGCGGTCGCAGAGTCGACCCCGCGACAAGCATTCGTTCGCTCTATTTCACCTGGCTGCCCTTTCTCGTCTACGCTAACGCGATCTGAATCCTTCGCCTCTCGAGCTCTCGTGCTCGATTCGACTCCTCACTACTCCTTCCCCTCGCATCTGCCCTAAAAATCCTCCCTACCATCTCCTAACGGTCGATCTGTAAGTATTGAATGAAATGAATTTCGTTAGTTGGTGCTCCTTCAGTTGGGTTTCATTAGTTGGATTTCGTTGGGTAATGTTGGGCTTTCGAATGATTTTCCGTATGTAATTTTCTCGTTTTTTGAATATGTTTGGCATTTCAGTATGTTCCTTCTCGTCTTCTCAAATTCTTCTTCACAATTATTTAGGGTTTGCGATTTCAGTAGGTTTCTTTTTTTGGGGTTCGTCTTGGGGTTTTCGTCTTGGCATTTCAGTATATTTCTTTAGTTGGATTTGCCAAGAGAGCAAAATATGCTTGCAGTGCAATTGGGCTTGGTAGAATGAGTTGTTCTTGTTGGATGGTTGCAGGGCAGTTTGGAGCAATGTTTGTTTTTAAGTTGTTAATGTTTATACCTTCTATTATACCACCCTAGTTTAAGGCGGATTTTTCGCAAGCTTGTGAATTAGAGACAGATTTTTTGCATAAGAATGTTTGAAGCTGTGAATTTGGAAGAATTTTTTGCATTTGCACATGTTTAGAACTTTTTATTATGCCACCATCGTTTAAGACAATTTAGATCTGTGAATTGGAGGGAGATTTTAAAAAATAAGAATGTTTGGTATGTAAGCAAAGCTTTTGCATATGATTTTAGGTGACATTTAAGGTGTTTCATGTGTAAATGCATAAGAATTGGTTGGTAGCATGCAAAGCTTATGCATATTATTGCAGGTGGCGTTTTAGGTTTTTTATGTGTAAATGCATGAGAATTGGTTGGTATGTATTCATATCACTGGTAGCTATTGTAGTGTTGTAGGTATTTTTTGAAGCTTACATATAAATGTCTATCGCTCATAGCTCGATAGTTGTTTTTCTCTTTATTTTATCAGTTTTAATACTCACGCGTAAGTGATGACTATATCTTATTTTTTAAAATTGTTTTGTATTATTTTTTGCTTTTGTTGTAGCAATTATATATTGCTCAGACTGTTCTGTTACAAAAATCATTAATGGTCATTTATCTAGAAACAGCTGCAAATAAGATATTTTGAATAAGCTCCCGCAAACAACCACCCAACTTATCAGGACAATCTGCAGATTATCAGATTGCAAGGATAATCTACAAATAAGCAGATTATAAATAATCTGCAGCTGCCCCAAACAGACCCTTAATCAAACATGGAACAATAGTGAATAGAACGTTGAAGTTATATCAATACTCAATGCTTCATATTAATTATCTTCTTCAATAAAAAATTTTCAAAACAAAGGAAAACTAAACTCAATAAATAAACTATTAACAGAAGTGCACTGCTTATCTGAAGTTTTAGACAAATGTTATAAAAAATTTTCAAGTACACGAAAAAATATTGAAGAATGATTTTTAATAATTTATGTATCCTCAGTTCATTACTGTAAAATTATAATGGGATTAAATATAAAAGATCATTTTTAAGCGCAACTAATTGGACCTAGCATAAAACAAGCTCAAAAAATAATAAATATATAATAGCACTTTGAAAATACTTTTAACAGTCATAATTGTAATTATTGAAAATCAATCAACGCCTTGAATAAATAAAGCAGGTCCCAGAAGATGTTAAAAGGGAATATCTGAATATTGATCAGAACTTTGAGATACCAAATAAAAGTGAAATTGAAAAAAAAATGTGTGGCTTTAAAGAGAGACCAACAACCTTCGTATTCGTGTCTAATTAAATTTATGCAATGCGTCAATTTAATTGTGCTACAAGTAGTTTAGCTTCCTCAAAACATCTCTCTAAAAAAATTGCTTAGAACTTGATAATGATGACACTCTAAATGAACCTTACTCATGGCCAATGTCACTTAATAAAGAAATTGAAACAAAGTGGTTAAAAATTACAAAGCAACATTAAATTTTGTCATTTACAATTTATGATAAATTTGATATAATAATGACATTAAAGGTTATATTAGGAAAACCAAAGTATGCCACACCTCTAACTTTATTTAATTTGATCAACATCTCTTGCACAAAGCAAATAGAAACAACCTTAAAAATTTTAAGAACTTATTGAATCAGATGAGATAACTCAAGCAGGCAGCAAACACAACCAGAGCAAATCATTTTAGGTCACATGAACAAAATAAAATAAATTAACTTAATAATTTAAAATTATTTGAACTTGATAAGCATATCAAATGCCAATATACGGGAGATGAATGAATTTGAAGGTGACACTGCATACTTATTAGCCATAAAATGCGTTGAACAAAACGTTTGACCTAGAATATCACAGGTTGGTTTTCTATTTTTTATTCTAAAATAAATGCTAAGCTTTCAATTCCAAGAGTTATTTGTTTAGTATCTAATGAAAATTGGATGAAAAATCTAAATTTTTTAAAGGTCCAAAGGAAAATTTAATAAGTCCCCTAAGAATAGGAAGATAATAATCCAAATGGTAAAATAAATCACCTTAGGAAAATAAGGCAATATAAAAATAAGCCAAATGGTTAATATAAATTAATACCTTTTGGTATGCCAAATGTAGATAGCATAACATTTAAAGCGCATACAATGGTTGGATGTTATTAGAAATCACAATATACCAGTAAGGTATACTCTAAGCATTGAATATCATAATGTTCAGTTCCATCAAAATTCTTATCGTTTATAAGAATTGCATGGCGCTTTAAGCCCATTTGGTTGCATGAATTACAAATTTGTACTGAAAAATAGTTGGATGTTAATACCTTTCGGTATGCATGGCGCTTTAATACCTTTTGGTATGCCAAATGTGGATAGCATACCATTTAAAGCGCATATCATGGTTGGATGTTATTAGAAATCTCAATATACCAGTAAGGTCTGCTCTAAGCATTGAATATCATAATATTAAGTTCCATCAAAACTCGTATCGTTTATAAGATTTGCATGGCGCTTTAAGCCCATTTGGCTGCATGAATTACAAACATGTTCTGAAAAATTGTGGAAAATTATTAGATGCAAATAGAAAACAACATTTATTTCTAAAAACATAGAATGCTTTCATTTTCATATATAACACAGAATAAAATCATAATTTCCTAAAATATTATTATCTACAAGAAATAAAAAAGGCCTTGCTATATTTGATCCAAATCCGTCTCAATTACTGCAAAATTCTTAGTTGCCCAAATCCATCTTCAAGTATAGACTAATTCTACTCATAATCATCAAAAAGGATCTCAAACTAATACATTTTCAGTCTTCAATTGAAAATAAATGACTCACAGCCAGTTTTTGTGCTCCTGCTAGCATTTTGAGGCATTATTGTGACAAACAAAAACACATAAATTCAAGCAAGCCGAGATCCATAAAAATAGTATCATCAGCCCAAGGATAGATGATCAATGAGATGTTCCTAAATAAAATAAAGCTTAATAAGAGATATATAAAAATCAAAATTCAAGTTATAGTCATAGCTTTCTTCAACGAGTACCCAAAAATTAGTTCAAGCATCGAAAATAGAGTAATCCTGAGAAGAAAAGACTTATTCAAGAAAAAACCAAAATTGCAAGTATACCCCTGGGAGAAATACAGCCACCAATGAATCATTCGCTATCATTCCATGGCGTGAGATTTATTTTCAGTGCAGTAAGCATTTCTTTATGGAAAACCTAGATCCCCAAGACAGTATGAATTGGGTAATGAAATATAACCAAAAATATAATTCTGCATTATCCCTATTAGGAAAAGTGCATGCATACAATATACAAAATACATTAACAAAGAGTAAAAAGCATAGAAAATTAGAAAGATACTAATATTGAATGGCGATAACTTCAAGGTATAGGGTGCACGAATGCATGTACCTTAAAAAAGCAGAGGCAGATCTAAGGAAATTTATAGCAGCCTAATTGGAGCCAGAAGTGGCTGCATAGAAAGTAGACGCAGTGTTAGCAGTAGGAAGAACACTGTTATGATCCCCAACAACCCTCTCACTACTTTGTTCTGAATCAGCATGAACAACAGCAGTTTGCACATTGGATGCATTAACATTCCTTCCACTTTCTCTTGTGTCTAGACGCTCCATCAGGCGTGAAACACTCGCAATGCCAGCACTAACTTCCCTCCTAACTTCAGAACGAATATCCGGGATTGAAGAGTTACGAGAAAATAATCTCTCCTTCCATCCTCGAGTACTTTTCGTAATAGAATCCTTATATCTAAGTTATATATAAGGAGTAAATAAATCATTAATGATTCATTGATCTTTAAATATTATATAAAGATTGAACCTAACCTACCTCATTGAGACAGAATTTAGACGAGATTTCAGAGATTCGGAAAAAGATTGGAAATCTGATGGTCCTGCCCTATCTTGGATAACTGGAGTTGATTGGCCAGTGAAGAAACTGCAAAAGAATATCCGAAAGCAGCATTGATATATCAGAGAACAAGATAAACAGCTTAAACAAACATATATAAACATTTTCATTTTAGAACTATAATTACCGGTTGTTCAAAAGAGGAGATCTATTGGCATTACCAATATTAGAACCAGATGAGATATCAGTAACCAGCTCTGCTTGGGATGAAGTAAGGGTTGAAACTTCCTCTCCATTAGGAGTCACCAAAGTTGATCGAGCATCCAAAGCCACAGCAGCAGCTGATCCATCCTCCACTCTTGGAGGAGAAGCAGTAACAGAAGTAATAGAAGGTGGATTTGAATTTGTAGAGAAAACAACAAACTGGGGGCGTCCATGAGCTGCTGACCTAACTCGCTGCCCTTCTCTTCTGGCAATATGATGGGCTCTACCCATGGCTGCAGCCGCCGCCAAGTGTTGAATTATACGTTCTTCAAGTTCACTCTCAGTTGCACCAACTGGTAACTGCAACACGAACAGGAAAGGAAAAAAAAAACAGTGGAGAAAATATTTCAATTTCATCAAGAATAATTTGTGTCCACCCAATCAGTGCAAATTGATGAAAGAAAAACTCACATGCTGCAATTCAAAGTCTCCAAGTGCAGGGTGGTGAAAAATAGCTGTGCTTCGAGTTTGATTAACCCTAACCCTAATTTCCCTTTCTTTCTCTACAGCTTCAAGAAGTTCTTGGCTGCCAAAGTCAGTATTAAAACCAGAATTTAGCATTTGATTTCAACGAAAATCAAGTATGCAGCAAAAGCTGGCCACGTTTAAGACAAACCTAGCAGAATCCTTCAAGCTGATAGGCCGCCAACACATAGGGCACTGAGAGCTCCTTTGGCACCTAAATCCATGAACCCAAACCATTAAGAAAATGAGCTGTTTTAACATTTGAAGTTTCTTTTTTTTACCAAAAAAAAAAAAAAAGAAAGAGAAATTTACATTCATAGCACATAATTCCTATGCATTTACATATCTCACACCTAAACTTTCATATTTTCATACATATCAATTTAGCACTTTGAACCTATAAATAAAAAGGTGTATTTCACATTTAAAAAGTGGTAAGATTGCTATTTTTTATGTGAAATTAAAGATTTGAGTGTTATGTTTATAAATATGAAAGTTTGGCCGTGAGACATGTAAATACATAAGAATTGTGTGCTATGTATAAAAATGCCCAAAAAAATAAATAAGAAACCATAGAAACCGTTGATGGTTAGAAGCAACAGACAAAAAAAAATGCATAAGCCATTGTTTAACACATTTTTGAAAAAAACAAAATCTTCATTGCTGTATTATTGAATTTATGGATATCAATTGCTGAAAATTACAGACACCATAAAAAAAAGAACTTGCTCAATTCTCAGGTAAATTTAATAAAATTTGGGACAAAATAGCACTCTATAAGAATATGGAGCAAAACATATCTGCTTAGGTGATCTTCAAAGAGATCTAACTAATCAGTATTTGTTAATTCTCCATTTTTCTTTTCCATTCCAAGCACCAGAAAAGTAGGAGTAGATATTATGTTGCTGGTAACTAAACCTAAACCTAAAAAACCTTCCTCAAATAGTAGAAGATAAGCTACTACTCACCACTCTAAAATGCATTGGAGATGGAATTCATGCTTGCAATTCGTCACCTGAACCATAGATAATCGCATGAATGAGTAAGGAAAGAAATCGTACTAAAAAATGCAGAAGAAAAAAATCAATTTGTAAGGCATCTAAAAACACACTGTTGACGGGTCGCTATCACTGAAAGCTTCAAGACATATGCTGCATGCATCATCGCAAACATCTTGCACGCCCCCTTCCACAAAAGCTGCCGCAGATGAAAGGTGGCTCTCCATCTTAGCAATTTCATCCATCCTTGCGCAACTGCAAAGAAAAAGTTAAAATAGTAATTAAAAAATAAGTCCACTTTATAGAAATTTGCACTGCAACGAAAACCATACACTGGAAAAGAATAAATCACCCAAAGGTGATGCTTAAACTTTCTCTAAAATCGCAGTCATCCCAATGAAAACACCACATCAGTTAGCCAAAACCCAGTCAAAATCAACCAAATCGAATAGAGGCGATTTAACCAATCATCGCAGCAAAGCATACCATAAAAACAATCAAATGAACGAAATCCTACATCCCATGAATTCAAAGCATGCTCAAGCATCCACACACGAGAATCGGTACAAAAATCCATCGCGAATCACAGTCAACGGGGCAATACAGTGATCGATCCCGCAACAAATAACTTTTTAGGATTAGCAAAGCAACCGGAATCATACCTAAAGAGCTTCGATTCTGAGGGTAACAAGGATGAGGAAACCCTAACTAAGTACAAGAGGAAGGTAGAGGAGACCGCGATTTGATTCAACAGTCTTCGATTGAAGGCATACTTTATATTTTCTCTCTTGTAGTCCACAAAGCTGAATTGAAACCCATCGCCATAGATGGCGTTCTCACCTTTTCGGATCGGATGGGTTCTGCTTTTCCCACTTGGTGGATTTTATCTAAACAAACTAAAACTATTCCTATAATTATGCAACCATGGTTAGTGCATGTATATTTACATTTCCACCCTTTAGAAACTAATCACATTATTTTATAGTGGGGTGAAAGGGTCTACACAATGGAGTTTGAAAATTGGAAAGCAATGATGGATTCAACTTCAACAAATTAGACCTTGTCTAAGGATCATTTTTATATTTTAATTAATAATAGTAAATAAAATTTGCTTTTAATTGATCCTCTTGATCAAACAATAGGTCATCAAAGAGTGTTGTGATTTCATCAATGTTATCATTTAGCATTGAAGTCTCAACTATTTTTGTTTTTTCACGAACGTCATAAAGTATATATGATTGTAGATGAGCAATACCTTTTTGGCTCGAGTTGTCTTTGTCTTATTGATTGTCTTGAATGGTTAACACTTAGTTTGCTTGATGTTTTGTTCATCCATCTTCAATCATTTTATATTAATGTAAAGTAATGAGAAACCTCTGTCTATTCTCTATATTGGTGATGAATGCATTAATATATGTTGATTTATATTGATTGGGTGAGTGGTTCATCTATCTTGTAGTAATTTTTAGTTAGTTCCTTATTAGAATCATTGAGACATCCCAAGTCATTCATGTCTACCATCATAAGATGCTATCTATTCAATTGAAAACTCAAGTGATTGATCTATTGATCTATAATATTTCGTTCAAAATAAATAAAATGGTAAGTGACAACACATATTTTACAAAATTCATATAAAGAGTCATGTCATATTCTCATATGTTACTTTTTGCTATTACAATTTTTGCTTTTACTATATTTGATTGATTATCACAATTTGTTTAAATAGTAAGTTTATCAATATATGATGAGCAAGTTAGTAGACTTTTTTAAAACCACTCAACCTTGGAAGTAGTAAAATCAAGTGCTACAAAATTTATTTCTATAGTGGATATTGGTGTCAATTTAGTATATTTTCATGAGATTGCATCGCCACAGAATGTGAAGACATAACCACTAGTAGCTTTTGTATTATCATTTTTGACAATTCAACTGACATCACAGTATCATTCTAGCACTACAGAAAATCTCTATAATGAATGTAATAGTTTATTGTGCTTTTTAAATATTGAAAAAAAAAATTATTGCAATGAATAAGTTTCACTTGGGTTAATAGTATATCTACTTAATTTTTCTACAACGTAACTTATATTAGGTCGAGAATAATTTGTCGGATCCATAAGACAGTCAATTATTTGAGAATATTTTAATTGCTATACACTATCACCCAAATCCTTAATAAAATATAAATTAAGGTTATATTTAGTGCCTAGAGGATTTACATCTTGATAATTAAATTTTGTAAAATGTTTATGAATAGAATATGACCCTGAAGATGAAGATAGTTTTACATCCAATAGTTTTATAATAAGGAGGTAAAACACAAAATATCCCATGTCTTATTTGATAAGATGGAATTTATTTCTTTTTTAACATCCTATTTCCAAAAAGAAGCATTTATAGAATTCATAGCTTTATCAAATATGGCAGGATCATTTTTAATCTTATTTTAATATATATATA